TGTATATATATATATGTATATATATACACATATGTATTTATATACATCACATATGATATATATACACACATAAATATATACACATATGTGTGTACATATATATTTGTGTGTGTATATATATATATTTATACACATGTACATACATGCATACATACATACATACACACAACTTCAAAACAACATAAATTCTCAACCTGTACTGAAAACAGTTTCTGCGTCTCAGCGCCACCAGCTGGTGAGAGGTGGTGACGTCAATTTGAACCCCGCCCACTGGAACCGGTACTGAAAGCATAATGGAAACACAACCTGTACCGTACCGAGTAGAGTAGAGCCGTGCTGTACCGGCCCGTACCGGTACTAATGGAAAAGGGGCATAAGTTATCAAAACATGTAAACAGCAATGTTCCCTCTAATTTTTCATGTGTCTGGGTAAACACACAAGCTCCCTGAGCATCCCTCTGCATCCTCTGTCTTCACTCCAACTACCTCCATGTCCTCTATAATAATATTACTTTATTTATAATACTTTATTTATAAAGCCCTTTAAAACAACCACATCTGCCAAAAAGTGCTGTACGTATAAAGTCAAGAACATTTAAACACATAAAAACAGTTGTTAAATCATTAAGATTAATAAAAAATAATAAAAACAGTGCAGAGCAAAATTCAGTCTGTGCTAAAAGCCAGTGAGTAAAAATGTGTTTTTAATGGTAATGGTACCTCTTTTTAAAAGAGTTTTAAAACTGGACAGTGAAGGAACTCGTCTGATGGGAAGAGGGAGATCGTTCCACAGTCTTGGAGCAGCAACAGAAAAAGCTCTGTCCCCTCTGAGCCTCCGTTTAGACCTCGGCACCTCCAGGAGCAGCTGATCTGAGGCACTGAGCAGGAGAGTATGGGTGAAGCAACTCAGAGAGGTAGGATGGAGCAAGACCATTTAAACTTTTAAAACAAATAAAATAATCTTAAAATGAACAGGCAGCCAGTGGAGTGAAGCCAGAGTGGGGGTGATGTGCTCCCTCTTTTGAACTCCAGTTAGAAGCTGAGCAGCAGCGTTCTGGACCAACTGGAGGCATCTGAGGGAGGACTGGCTGACTCCATGGTAAAGAGTGTTGCTGTAATCCAGCCGAAAGGTGACGAAGCTGTTGTTTTGTAAGGATGGGCTTTACCTTAGCCAGCTGTCTGAGGTGATAAAAACTGGTCTTGACCACCGCTCCAATCTGGGAATCTAATTTAAAATCACTGTCCATTTGAAAACCCAAGTTAGAAACAGTTTTCTTTACATGTGGTGCCAGAGGGCCCAGATCCACAGGGCAAAGTTCACAAGAGCCACTAGGACCAAACACCATCACCTTTTTCATCACTGTTTTCTTTTCATTGAAATTTAAGAAGTTTAAAGACATCCAGGCTTTGATGTCTTCAAGACACAACAGAAGTGGCCTAATTGAGGGGGCATCTTTCTTTTTTAGTGGCATATAGAGCTGACTATCGTTAGCGTAACAATGAAAAAAGATCATATGCTTTCTAAGGATTGATCCCAATGGAAGCAGGTAAAGGGAGAAAGCAGGGGACCTAAAATAGAGCCCTGTGGAACCCCAAAACACAGAGAAGCAGTGGAGGATTCAGACCCAGCTATGTTGACAGACATGGTTCTGTCTGGTTCTGTCTGCCAGATAGGACCTAAACCAGCTCAGTGCAGTACCACAGATTCCCACTTGATGCTGGATGTGTGATATTAAAATGTTGTGGTCCATGGTATCAAAGGCAGCGGTTAGGTCGAGCAGGACAAGAACCACATGTTCACCAGAATCATTGGCCATAAGAACATCATTTAAAAACTCTGACTAGCGCTGATTCTGTGCTGTGGTGAGTTTTGAAGCCAGACTGAAAAACCTCCAGGATATTGTGCTCATCCAGAAAACATTTGACCTGTGAATAATCAATTTTTTTCTAAAATTTTTAAAATAAAAGGCAGCTTGGAGATGGGACTAAAATTAGCCAAGACAGTTTGGTCTAGGCTTTTTAAGCAGGGGCTGCACCGCAGCATGTTTAAAACTTATTGGGACAACACCTGAGGACAGACTGCTATTGATAACAGCCAGAATCACCTGCCTGATGCTGGAAAACACCTCTTTTAAAAGACGAGGGGGGACAAGGTCATGAGGAGAACCTGATGGTTTAATATGGTCGACCACATCCTCTAAAAGGGTCAGGGTCACTAGTTCAAATCTATTGAACACAGCCAGGCAGGGGACCAAGCAGGAGGGGTCAAAAGCAGGGGCTGAAATAAGGGCCCTTGTGGTAACAACCTTATTTATAAAAAAAAAAACTGCATGAAGTCATTACAAAGTTCAGTAGAGGCTTCCAGACAGACAGGTTGTGGGGCCTTCAGGACAGAGTCGATAGTTTTAAAAAGGACACGTGGATTATTATGATTGGACACAATAATATCTGACAAGTGTTGTTTTTTGGCCTCTTTAACGGTGTTCTGGTACTGACGTTGACAGTCCTTTAAAATGTAAAATGAAACCTCCAGTTTATCCTTTTTCCAT